AAAAGGGAAAGGGGGCGGGGAAAAAGGGAAAGGGGGCGGGGCGAGAAGCCGGGTCCCAGCACCCATAACGGGAAAGGGCCAGGGCGCGGAGCCGTGGGAAAGGGCCGGGTCCCGGCACCAGTAACAGGGTGCCCAGCGCGGATCGGGCATCACGGTGTGGATCGTGGCCGGATCGCGACGAATCGGGATGCGATCACGGCCGGATCGTGGCCGGATCGTGACAAATCGGGATGCGATCACGGCCGGATTGTGGCCGGGATCGTGGCCGGGATGCAGCGCGAGTCACAAGCCGGTCGTGTTCCCGATCACAGGTGGATCACGGCACGGATCACAGCTCGGAGCCAATTCCCAGCTCAGATCCCAGCACAAATCCCACAGACCGCAGCCAGATCCCAGCCCAAATCCCAGGGATCGCAGCCGGTTCCCAGCACAGATCCCGGCCCAAATCCCGCCGGGACGCTGCCCTCACCTCGGGAATATTCTCCTCGATGATGCGCAGCACCACCTGCATGCAGCTGCGCTGGTTGAGCACCATGTCGATGCTCTGTGACACCAAATCTGCAGCGGGATCGGCGGGATCAGCGGGATCAGGCGCCTGGCCGCGGCCCCTCCGCGGCCCCAGCCGCCCCGGTGCTCACCTGGATCCGTGCGGAGGCTCTTGAGGTCCAGGGATTTCTGCGAGCCGTCGTAGCGCTTGCTCATGCACAGCTGGGAACGGCGAGAGGACTCAGGGAGGCTGCTTTGCCTGGCCCCAAATTCCCATTTCTGGCCCCAAACGTGCTCCTCCTGGCCCCAAAATTGGCCCTTCTGCCCCAAAATTGGTCCTTCTGCCCCAAACGTGCCCCTCCTGGCCCCAAAATCGGCCCTTCTGCCCCAAAATTGGTCCTTCTGTCCCAAACGTGCCCCCCCGGCCCCAAAATTGGCCCTTCTGCCCCAAAATTGGCCCTTCTGCCCGAAACGTGCCCCCCCTGGCCCCAAAATTGGCCCTTCTGCCCCAAAATTGGTCCTTCTGCCCCAAACGTGCCCCTCCTGGCCCCAAAATTGGCCCTCCTGGCCCCAAAATTGCCCCTCCTGGCCCCACTCACCTTCACCTGCTCGATCTCCTCCGGCTTCAGCTCGTTCTGCAGCGACTGCGGCGGCCCCGACGCGTTGATGATGATGACGACCTGGCAAGGGACAACGCTGGGGACGTGCTGCCGGTGCCGGTGTCGGTCCCGGTGCCGTCGGAGCGGCTCCCGCGCGCGGCCGCCGTCGCCCGCTCCGCACCTTGTAGTTATCCCGGTCGATGATTTTGCGGGAGACCTGCTTGAGCGCGCTGGCCGTGGTGGCGTCTTCCACGTAGAACTGGGCCCGGTTGTGGTCGTAGTGGAACTGCGGAGCGGCGGGAAGGAGCGGGGTCGGGAAGGGCCCTTGGGATGGAGGGGTGGGCCCCCAGGGACAGCCCTGCGAGGGGGGAATGGCCTCGGGAACGGGGAATGGCCCTTGGGAATGGCTCCAGGATGAGGGAATGGCCCCTGGGATGGCCCCGAGATGGGGGGAATGGCCCCTGGGAACAGCCCCGAGAGGAAGGAACAGTCCCAGGATGGGAAAACGGCCCTTAGGAAGAGCCCCGGGATTGGGGAACAGCCCCCGGGATGGGGGGAAATGGCCCTCGGGAAGAGCCCCGGGATTGGGGAACAGCCCCGGGGATGGGGGGAACGGCCCCCGGGAAGAGACCCGGGATTGGGGAACAGCCCTGGGGATGGGGGGAACGGCCCCCGGGAAGAGACCCGGGATTGGGGAACAGCCCCGGGGATGGGGGGAACGGCCCCCGGGAAGAGCCCCGGGTTTGGGGAACAGCCCCCGGGATGGGGGGAATGGCCCCCGGGAAGAGCCCCGGGATTGGAGAACAGCCCTGGGGATGGGGGGAACGGCCCCCGGGAAGAGCCCCGGGATTGGGGAACAGCCCCCGGGATTGGGGAACGGCCCCCGGCCCCCCGGAGCCGCGCTCACCTCGACGGGGGTGAAGGGCACGGTGCAGAAGTTCTGGATGGAGCTCAGCAGCCACGACTTGTCGTACTTCTTCCCGTACGGAATCTGGGAGGGAAGCGGTGGCATCGGGGAGCGGCCGGGGGCACCGGGAGCAGCCCCCCCGCCCCGGTGCTCACCGTGATCTTGAACCAGCTGCGCCGGGCGCCRCYRCCGTCGCGGCTGCCGGTGCCGGCRGCGCCGCYGCGCTCCTGGGCCAGCAGGTCCCGGCGCACCGTGATGTGGATGTTGGCGGCGCGGTTGGGCCGCGGCCCGTAGGGCAGGCTGCGCGGAAACGGGGGGAACGG